TCTAAAGGTCTGGAATTGTGAACTAGGGGTTGTTTCCTTCATCTGTGAAACTCTCAGTTTTCTAAAAGATAAACTATGGAATTATTCATCTTCCAAAAAGAATTGTTGGGACATTTCTTCAACTAGTAAGGAGTCCAAATACATTTACAACATGATTTGCTTTGTAAATTTAGATTGGCAGACAACTTTCAGGGACATGTGGATTGTAAACAAACTACATCTTGACTGGCATGAGTGTCACCTCACCTGCAGAGTTAGAAAGGGCTGTCAGAGTTGTTTTTCTACTGAGGGAGATTTGTTTAGGAGGCTAAAGAGATGACTAAAATTTAATATTAATAAATACTATTTGCTTATGATCTGAATGGCCAGGAACTCATTAAATACTGATTGCAAGGAAGCATTCTTTAAACTTCGTTCCTTCTCTGGGTGCAGGTTGTAAAGGTGAATTCCTGGCATCATTATATTTGCGTTCCATGGGTATCTGCCTATATAAGTTCTAGCATTCTCTAGAGTTTTAGAAAACTTATTTTGAACTCATTTTAGACATAGCAATGTTATGAAAATAGCACAGGACTAATAATATTGTGCTGTATATCCCCAACTTGCTTCCATTAATGTTGACACTATACACAATCATAGAGAAATTGTTAATAGTACAATTATCAAAATCAAGAAATAAACATTTTCAGTATTAGGAACTTTATTTTTATTCAGTCTTTTTACTGAAGTCCTTTTATGGGGGTGGGGGTCTGGATCTAGTTTACTAATTTTTCTTGTTAGCCTGTAACTTTTCCTTTCTAGCCTTTTCTTTCATGGCCTTGCCACTTTTGAAGGGCAAGGGGTTTCTGGGATGTTTTCTTGGCTAAGGTTCTGCATGTAGGTAAGACTAGCTCCTATATGATAGTGTGTCCTTTGTGGTGCATTGTATCACAGAGTTCAGGGTGTCAGTATAGCATCACCAGTGAAGCTAACCTTGACCACTGATCAAGGTCATATCTTGTTTGTTTTTTGTTTTTGTAGCTTTAAGCCCTGACAGCTAACTCCTATCTGCCATTTGTGAAAGGGAATGAGGAAACAGATTATGGAAATTGGAACTAGGGAAGATAGTCTTTTGTAAGGCCTTCCTTTATAGCTAAGCACCCAGAAGCTTAACAGAACAGCTCTAACAGAACAACCACTTACCCAAAGATTACCCATTTATTAAATGACAGGATAGCAACTTGGCAGTCAGATCTCAGGGTGCAAGTCTGAATGCTCTCTGCCCTTCTGAGTTGTGCTCAAACACTTGAAACTCACTGAATTCCACTTTAGCACACTTGAAAACTAACTGGACTGTAGGAATATTCAGCCAATCTCTGGTCAGAACTTAAAACAAGATTAAGAGAGAAACCACAGTGAGGTATACAGACATGGAACTGGCCCGAGGCTAGAGATCAGATGAACTGTGTCAGTGTTTCCAAAATGAAAATACTTCTAGAATGCTCCACATAACACGTAGGGAATAACAACAAAAACCTACTTGAGATTTTTAACAGAAAAAGGAGATTTGTTTATTAATAATTCATGAGTTCCCATTGAACATGCACGACAGAAACAGTGCTATTCAATAGAGAATACTGTCATCTGTCACTGTTTTATTTGACATTTACACTTTTTTTTTTTTTGCCCGATACTGCAAAACTTTCTTGGATGGCATGCAAAAATTATATAAATGGAAAAAAAAAAATCCCAGTGTGGGGACCCTTTATCTCTTCTGCAATGGGTTCACTCATAATTACACACATATGTGTTCATGCAACAGCATAGCACTTCCCAACATGTTCATTAGCCACCAAACAAGCTAATACCAGGCCCTACTGAGAAAACAGATCAGTGTCCCAAATGGACTGGTGGAAGGATGGTATGAACAAGGAGATGGTGGTGGGATGGGCGGTGGGGTAGGTTTCCTGAAGATAAGCTTACAAATGTGCAGAGTGAGCAAGTGAGTCAGAGTGAGAAGAAAGCAAATCATGGCTGCCACAAATAAAACTGGCAAAAAAAAAATCGCCATTTCAGATATGAAATAAATATTTATAAATGGCATCACAGGAGCTCTGCTAGTAGGGAATATCAGCATATTTTTAAGAGGAGTTAGATTTAAGAGCACCTTACAATTTTGTGCTACTGTAAGGCTCTCAACAAGCTTTCTGCTCTGTAGGTTAGTTATTATTTATAAAAATCACAGAACCAGCTGATACATTCATAAGCTAATTATTGAAGCAGCTGGGTACACATGGTGCAATATGTCCAAGGCTGTGAAGTATCACAGATTTCTTGGGGCCTGCTGTGGTGGGGGTGCACTGTTGAAGGCTCCATCCCTTAATCTGATCAGCCAAGCAAACATTTTGTGGGGAAACTAGATTAATAACCCTCTAAATACCATGAATGTGCTTCATCTTCAAAACCGGGTTCCCCTAAACATGCTATTAGCTCATCCCACTAGGGATTTGAAGAAGTTCTCTGCTGCCCTAAGAACAGGGTCTTGTTGGCTACTTCCCTATTCCAGAAATTAATTTGGTTTGCTTATGTCTGCACACATGATCACACTTGTGTCTAATCCTCTCCCTAATAGCTTCAAGGTCAAGACCTTGCATGTCAGTGGGCAAATTGAGCACTACACTTCTTAAAGACTGATGGCAGACAGCACACAGTCCATAATGAGGCCTGTAGTGTTGTTTTAAGTGATTGTAGCGAGTGCAGTTTATAACAGCGCATATAAATCAAATGTGGCAGTGAATGTTGTGTGAGACATTCCAAGTGTCATAAGTGGAGATACCACTCAGCTGTCACCTGTCTCCTTTCAAGCTGTGGCTTCCCACAATGCAATTCATCCCTCAAGTGGAACAGCAGGTGCTGTCTTCTTTAAGGTCTGGCTATCTTAGGACTTCGTCTTTTAACAGATGTAGGTTTTTGTTTTTATTTTCCATTCAATGATTGGTCTCCATGCTATCGCTTCCCCTGGGAGATGTTAAACATACCTGTTTGAAACATTTGAAAGAGTTCAGTTGGAGACTTATTCAGTTCTATGAAAAGATGGAGAAATGGGAGCTTAATTTTTCCACAGATGGTTTATTTTCCATTTCAGGAATTCTTTCCTTTGTATAAAGAAACCCTTGAGAAAACACTTTGGGACCAGGAGACTTTTATTAAAATATAATTTATTTTCTGGTAGGGATAAAAAAATTATCTTCATTTTTCATGTGCATGGCACCTTAAAAATTAACCATTACCTTTCTCTTAATTGAGTTGGGGGTGGGGGAACATGAAAATACTTGCGAAAACATTTCCAAGCAAATGATAAGATATCTTGTTTTCATTCTTCCTAACCTTCTAACTCTCCCAAGCTCCCAGTTTACTGCAAGAAAAGATCAGGTCTGTGCAAATGTGGCCTCTCACTTGTAAAAACAAGGCAGTGTTGTGTTACAGATTAGTTTATAAATCCCCAGTGGCTTCACAGTTCAGTGCCTACAGCTGCTGCAGATGGGCCTGGGTTTTTGTCTCTTCGCGGTGCTGCAGCCGGCAGTTGAAGGGGAAAATGGAATGATCAGGTTATTAACATGGAGGCCGCGAGGAAGAGGCCGCACAATGAGAACAGCTGGTGTTGCTGTCTTGGCTGATGCAGCGGAGATAATCAAATCTTGCCTTTTTTTTTGGGTGAAGGCAGAAGACACAGAGGAGAGTTAGACAAACAACAGCTTATGATATTATATGGGGTTTTTATGATGCGTGTCAGGAGCTTTCGTTGGCTTACAAGTGATGATATAGAATTTGTTGAGGTTTGGGGTTTATTTCTTACAAAGTCAGTTGTATTTGTGCACCCTTAAAAAAAATTCCACCCTTTTGCAAGAGATGCAATGTGGGACAGTTCTTGTTTTTAAAATTAGCGATGTAGCTTGGAAATGATGGGTTAGAAAGCTACTGAGTAAAATATTTTGACATGAGTCAGTGAGCGATGTTGACAGCCTCCTCTGTATTATTTTCCTATAATCCATCATTATTTGCATTGCATTTTCTTTCGCATGCAGTTGCAAGAGAGAGAACATCCGGATGCCAGAGTTGGGAAGCAGACATTTGCAGGTGCGACCCGACCAACTGCCTACCTTCCTGCAGGTGTGGCTGTGGCGGGAAGGTGATGCTTAAGATGGCTTTGAGCCCAGGGCATTCAGAGATGGAACAAATATCCATTTGTTTTTCATTCGAGCTAAGGCTATTGTTTTTATCCATGCAGTGTTAGTAATGATTGTAAGAATATTTCCTCCCCGGAGAATTCAGTGCTATTTGCACTAAGACAGTTTTTCTCTTTTGGCATTTGTCATCTCAGGATACATGCTTGTTTGTCTTTGTGCTCTTCTTAGAACACAAGCCAGTTGGGCAATTTGTAAAAAATGTACTTGGTCAATACAAATCCCTTCTTCTGAGGATTGGGTAGCCATAATCTCAGTTGTATATACAGGAGGTTTTTTGTTGTCTTTTTATTTTTGTTTTATGATAAAGAAACTGTCACTGAGAATGTATTCTATAGGACAGGTATTAAGAAAACCTGAGCAAGAGTTAAAATTCTTGGGACTAGGGCTATAAGAGCTGTTTACCATGAAGGAAGCCCTGAGTTTCAACCCGACCACCTCCCCCACATCCACCAGGCATTGTGGCTCATATTTGTAATTTCAGCACTTAGGAGGTATAGGCAGAAGGCAATGGAGTTGAAGATTATCCTTAGTTACATGGCAAGTTTGAGAAGGTCTCAAAGAAAAAGAAAAGAAAAAAAAAAGTGAAGATTCTTGAGCATTGATTTAACCACTTATGTGATTGGATTTTAGAATCAGACGATTTCAGTAGCTAGTCAAGTTGGTGGAAACAATTTCAACACAAAAACATGGTGGGGGGATGGCAGTTGATTCAGGGTCCAGGCCCACACAGCTGCTCTGTACACAGTGCTAACTCCGGTGACCTTTTCTCTCCAGGGCTGGCTCTGTGAATTGCTCCGCTGGAAGGAAAACCCAAGCCCAGAAAACCGTACTCTCTGGGAGAATCTCTGCACTATCCGCCGCTTCTTGAACCTTCCCCAACACGAGAGGGATGTGATCTACGAGGAGGAATCACGGCATCACCACAGTGAGCGTATGCAGCACGTGGTCCAGCTTCCGCCTGAGCCAGTGCAGGTCAGTGTCCCCCAGCCCCAACAGGGCTTTCTGTGCCCCCAGCAGCTACTGAGGGTCAGAGGGACCACCACCTCCCATCAGAAGAGGGCTCGTGCCATGTCTTTGAGGACAGGAGTCTGTTGTCACAGTGGGCACTGTGGGTATGCTTACACCCAGAGAAAAATGACCAAGACATTCAATGCCAACAGCAGAGGCTCTCCTGACTGTGCGTGTACCTGTGACGTCATGAGACTGGAGTGCTCAAGGAGAATTAAACATAGTGTACACCACTTTGTAAAATTATTTCTTCTACATTTGTTTATTTGTATGGATCTGTGTATACACACACACCATGGCGATTGTGTGGAAGTCAGAGAGAAACTTGCTGGAGTCCGTTCTTGCCTTCTACCATGTGTATTCCAGGGAGCCAGCTTAGGTCCTCAGACTTGGTGGCAAGCTCTCTTCTTTGCCTAGCATCTCACTGGCCTATCAGTTTGCTTTCTGAAGAAAAACAGGTGTTTTTGATCCAAAATTCTTCAGAGAATGTTTAATGATTGGGTGGAAAAGAAATAGCTTGATGACCCGAGGAATAACCTTGATCGCAGTTGAACCCTCAGGAGAAATTGGAATAGGTTATTGGAATTTAAGTTGAGCTTTTGCTGTCTTTGGTTTCCTGTTTTAAAAATCTGCCTTGTTTGGGTGGCATGTTTTGTGGTTTAGTTTTTCGCTCTCTTTGAAAAACACATTTCTTTTTGAAATTAACTGAGTTTACCAACTCTTAATTTAAAATCAATTACTTTCAAGAATTATTAACCAGGGTTTCCGTAGAGTCTTGTGCATGATTTGGTTTGGCCCTGCTGCCTGAATCTTGATGACCACCAAAGAGGACCTTTAAGGCCTCTATCTGACTTTCCTTCTGTGTGGAAAAAGGAGAAAGCCGAGGCAAAAATGCATGTGTGTGTACAGGTGTGTGTAGAATGGAAGGGAATGTGAGCTGGAGGAAGGGTGAGGTGAGGTTTATGATAAACTTGTAAGAGAAGAGATGGTGAAGGACCTGGGGAACATCTCTCAGGTGTCCGTTTCCTTTCGCTGTGCTCCACCCTCACATGCCTGGGGAGAAGCCAGAACTGCAGGGGTCCATCAAGGTGTTTTTCATCAAATATTGGCATCTCAGCCAAAGCTTTTATGCTATCATTGGTCAGTTTCTATGACAAAATTCACAGTGTGAATCATGGGTTCATTGAGTCCTTGTCTTGCAAAATCCTCAGTGAATCCAGGGTAGGTGGGCAGTAAGGTACGTGGTTAGTAAATAGCAAAACAACTCATTCTTGGAGACTAAGCCACAGGGCTTTCTCTGAAGGCCTCTCCTCCCCTCTTAGGCTCTTTTCCTGGCTGGGACCTCATCCAAATACTAGGGAACCTTCCTACAGATAGTTGGTCAGTGTACTGAGTCCACAGATCAGGGGCTTTCACTTAAAGACCTTAATTTCTTAAAATTAAAGGGGGGGTCCCAATATAGTTTAACAACCTTTTATTTTATAAAATAAATTGATTTGAATACTTCCAAAGACGTTCCAAGTTATTATCATAACAATGAAGCTGATCACCTCGGACAAAAGGTCATACAAACTGTATAAAATTCAACCACACTATGGCCCTTTATTTTCTCATTTTGATATAAACCAAAGCAATGTCAAAGAATACCTTTAGGAACGAATGACTTTACATGAATTTTTATTCAGAGGTCTATCTTAGTTTAATACAATAGAAAAAAAACCCGCCTAATTTATTATTGAGAAAGTAGTGGTAGATTTCAACTATATGTCAATGATGAAGATGAAAATGTACAGGTTTTTGTCCTTTTTTTGTGTGGCCCAAGATGGCCTCAAACTTGAAATCGTCCTGCCTCAGCCTCCCATGTGCTGGGGTTATAGGCCTGTACCTATACCATCATCACACTTGAAAACAGAGGAATTTCAAATAACAACATGAAGACCCATTCTCTGTTATAGTGGCGGAGACTTCATTTTGATAATTGCTCCCACACCATACCTATGGTCTTGGTTCCTTGTCCAGCAGTTATCATCTGTGTAGACTCTGTGCTTCCAGCTGACCAATTTGAATGAAGTAAATCTTAGAAGCAGACAGGCAATTGAGTCTGTTGTTACTTTCTTTTATGTTAATATGTCAGAACTAAAGTGTGGTGACAGTAGTTAATGGGTAAGCAAAATTAGCCTTCAGATTTCAGCACTTTGTACCCATTTGATATTCCTAAGACCCACTTGATATTCCTAAGACAAATTCACTTACTTTAAAAAACTTTATTCCTATCATTCAGATATTACCTAAAGAGTTTAAAAATAAGGTAATTTCCTCCACATTGAAATTTCCCTTGCCTCTGATCTTGATCCCACCACTATGGGACTTCAGTACATCCATTTTTATTTTTATATTGTACTTCTGAGTGACACTGCTTTGCTGAATTTGTGTTTGTCAGCAAAATGTAAAGCTGTGGATTAATTATTTATTATACTCATAATATGAAAAAAATGAAGAAAAATAACTTGAGGCAGCTGGCAGAACTCTTCAGACTGGAGAATGCAGATGGCACAGCCTCTGTGACTAGTAGAGTTCAGTACTTTAAAAGATGCCAAGCTACTAGGACAGTGTAACTAACCAGACACCTTGCCAATGGACTTAGCATTGGAGCTCACTTGTGCCCTTATAGCAGCTAGAATTTTTTAAATTTTTGTTTATTTATTAATTCATTTATTATGCGTATGAGTGTTTTGTCTGCATGTATGTAAGTGTACCATGTGCATGTGATGCCTCAGAGGTCAGGACAGGACATTGACTCCCCTGGAACTAGAATTACAGATGGGTGTTAGCTGCCATGAGGGTGCTAGGAACTAAACCCAGGTCCTCTGGAAGAGCAACCAGTACTCTTATCCACTGAACTATCTCTCTAGCCCCCTCAGCTAGAATATTTAAAAGCTACATATTCTTACATGTTTTAGGAATCTAAAATTCTATAGGGTAATGTTAGTCAATGTTGCATTTTGTCCAGGTAGGTAGGAAATGTGCCATCACTAAGTCATTAAGAATGAGTGAAATCAGTGATGAATAAAGGCTTCTCATATGTACAGTATAATAAAATAAAGAGGTGTCTGCCTCTCTGTGGCCACGGAAGTGTGCCACTTACATTTCCTTAGGTAAGATGGGTTCACTGTTCTCCAGTTTCCTTTAAATGTTAAAGATAGGAGACAGTGATCTTTGGATAGATTGACTTACTATATTGGTCTGTTGACCTGGGTCCTGGAGATAAACTGAGTCAAAGAAGGTCTTCCTGTTACCATCTTCAGCTGGTGTGCTTTCTGTGAGAAGTACTTTAGAATCACTGACAATTGTTTCTTGTCAGTTGTTTGTAAATAGAGTTTAAAGTCTTGTGTGCACTGAAGAGTACTTCTTTTAGGATCAAAAAGGTTTAAAAATTTAAATCCACAATTAGAAAGCTGAAGATTGTATATGAAATTAGGAGTATCAGAAGATTAGATCCCACATGACTGGAGCTGCACCTTTTACTTACCTTGAGCAACCCCAGGCCATATCAGCGACATCTATTCCACTTCATTGATTTAAGCTTTGCACTGTCTTGTCACTTTATCACTTAAGGTCACCTGGCCCTGGTGGTTTCATCTTCACATCTGAAGCTACTACACAAAAGCCACAAGTGCCTGTGCCTCTGGCTCTAACTTATCTATGCATCATTTATTTATTTATTTATTTTTTTCATCATTTTAACACCTAGCATACGCCTTTGCTTGTTACTGTAAGTGCATCTTCGGTGGAATTTCCCTTCAAAGGCGAATCAAAGTTGTAGTTTATACTATACTAGGCTCAAGGCCATGCAGGAATGTTGTTAGCCCCAGACTTAGTCATGATGAAAAAATGAAATCCTCCTCCCTGGGAACCCAGGAATAAGTAGCTTTTAGGTCATATTGAGTTCTCTGGTCCCACTAGGTTCTTTTTGGTATTCCAAGTCTCTTCAGAAATACCAATTAAGCTTTCTTAGTAGAAACTGGCTTTCTTGGATTTAAACACTTTATAAATTCATATATTCTCTAGATCCACAGTCAGGAAGTATTGCCTAAAGGGAGTGAACATTGGATTTGGGGGAGATTAAAAATTCTAGATTTGTAATAGCATGTGATCCTCTAAAACAATGCAGCATATGAAGAGTTAGTAAGCATATTTTTGGCATTAAATTTTACAAAGAGGGGAGATAATTTAGGAAAAATTTCATTAAAAAACCTCCTTGTATAGTTGATGATGGGGAGGAAAAACTGAGAAATTGTAATTTCCATGATTCTCATCCAAATATAGATACTACAGAGAGATCAAGAGAGGTGAGATGGTAAGGGAAACCAAGCCAAACCAAGCATCCTATGAAAAGGATGAGATGTAGTTTAGTTTTTATTTTAGTAGGTTAGGGACAAAGTTATTTCTTGTGGTCATAGTAATTCCCCCCACATGGTTATTATGACCTGAGGCCCTATAGTGCATGGATATCTTCAACTTAAAATGAAAAATTACTAGCGATGTCAGAGTATTCATTAGGACCAACTCCACTTTACAATTGGAAAAATTGGAGCAGCCATTGAGCCTTGCCTGAAGCCAGGAACACCAGATGAATTAAAACACAGGCACATTTGGCATCCAATCTTGCCTCTGACCACACTTCCCTCTGAATGCATGAGGAAGAAAGGACATCACTCATGCTATAACTGGTCCTTGAGCAGGGTTGACTGAGGATCATTTGCCAAATTGTTTGTGTCTGTGGAGTCGGTGCTTTATTGCTTTATTGTGTTTCCACCACAGTGTTTCCATGGATTATTTTGTAGGTTCAGGAGTTCTGAGCTAGCTGCTATGTGGTTCCTGACAAGTACTTGTTTTAAAATTCCATGCAGTACATGGAGTAAGAATGTGACACCTGGTGTTGACAGCCCTGTTTCCATATTGTG